AAAAAACACGTTGAAATGTTTCAGATGAATGGATTGCCGATTCAAAATGCTGAATAATTACAGTCAGAAAGGAATTCGAAAGCCCAAACTTCAATTGGGATAAAGAAACCCTAAAAATCAAACCTAATCTTGTCCATAATTCAGAATACAATCATACCAGGTCACGCGATCAGAAACAAAAAAAATAAATAAATAAATAAATAAAATTCCTCACGAAGAGAATCTTAACGACTAGTCGAGCTCCAAAAACAGTTCTCCACCATGAAATAGGATTCCGAAACTTGGTTGCGACCATAAAATAGTTAGCAAAATAATGATTTTAATGTGACTAACTGATGGAGAAAGTGTAGGATTAGGGCCCTGAAAATTTGATGGTGCGAGATGCGAATGCTTACCTCAGATGAAAACTTGCGCGGCGCTTTCACGCTCAGTTCACCTACTAGCGTGCTTTAGGGCACTGGATCGGATCACTATTATATATTTCTTTTCTCTACCAGTACACCACCCCCTGTATTATACGAATTCTTATTAAAAAAAACTATTCTTAATTTTTTTAAATTAATGAGAATTTTTTTTTACTAAAAATATATATTATTATATATTTTAACATGACATTTGTTACTTGTACGACTTACATGTGTTATATTATAGTAATTTTTATGATTTATTTAGTGAACCGCTAAACACGGCCCCCTTTTCGATATTTACCGCCCCCTAAAAGACTAATTTGCCCTTTATACATTTTTTAAAAAATAATAGATGTCCCTTTTTAAACCTACTTACCGGTCAAACCGAGCCTCGAAAAATTGCGAAAACACCTCTGAATAATTCCGGCGAAAAAATGCTTTCCAACAAGACCGATCATGCGGCGGCTGACCGGTCAAACCGGCGGCCGACCGGTCAAACCGGCCAAAAATAATTTTTTTTTTTTTGGGTCGGCCGGCCTCGAATGCCGGCCGTAGCCGTGTCGGCCTTCTTTTTGCCGGTTGGCCGGCCCATGCACGGCCGGTTTTGCCGGTTGGCCGCGTCATGCACGGCCGGTTTTGCCGGTTGGCCAGCCCATGCACGACCGGTTTTGCCGGTAGGCCGGCCCATGCACGGCCGGTTTTGCCGGCCGGCCGGCCATTTTTCTTTTTTTTTTTAAACAAAAATCAAATTTTTAATTATATACATTATATTAGAATTTAGATTTATGTTATAAATTAGAATTTAATATCTCATAGTTAGAATTTAGAAGTTGTTAAATTATAAATTATAACTAATTATCTTCGGTAATAAATTTTAAAATACAAAATAAAATTTTGACTTAAATTTGAAATTCATAAATACCAATTTAAATAACAAATTGAACGAAAAAAATTGGATTCTGTTAGAGCAATTCATTGAGACCGATTAATTCAGTATGATTTGACCGAATTTTATGACAAGAGATTGTTTGACACTTTTCTCAGAGTTATATGATTCGTTTGAATATTATAGTAGAAAAGCGTTCTAACAAAATAGTAATATATTCTAATTTATAATAGTATTAATCTATACCATAATAATTTCTAACTTCTAACATAGTAGTCCTAAATATTATTTCATAAGGCTATCAATTCTAAATATATAACACTACAAGAAATTGTCAAAATGCCAACGGAAATTACCAACAAAAATTTTTCCGTTAGGGATTGCCAACGGATTGCCGACGAATTAACAATGCATTATATATACAATTTTTCTAAACATATTACCAACAGAATACTAACAAGATATAGCAACGGAAAATTACATCTTTGTATTCCGTTGACAAATAGTGACGGAAATATTCCGTTAGTAAACACAAACAAAATACCAATAGAATAGCAACAAAGTCTTTCAAAATTATATTAGCAACATATTAATCCGTTGGTAAATAGCA